TGTCCATCTTCGTGTTACTTATATCCCGTGTCCATCTTAGTGGTACTTATATCCTGTGTCCATCTTCGTGTCACTTATATCCTGTGTCCATCTTCGTGTTACTTATATCCCGTGTCCATCTTAGTGGTACTTATATCCTGTGTCCATCTTCGTGTCACTTATATCCTGTGTCCATCTTCGTGTTACTTATATCCCGTGTCCATCTTAGTGGTACTTATATCCTGTGTCCATCTTCGTGTCACTTATATCCTGTGTCCATTTTCCTGCCCCTCCTTACTAGTACCATGCCTTCTGCTATTATTTTGACCAACTTATTTCAGCTTCTGAGACAAGATGCTGTTAATAAGCCAAGCTTCCTTGATGTTTAGATCTTTTAAAATGTCTTCTCTTTTTATTCTGAGAATCTTTCGATAGATTTTTATCTCCAAATCCCTTATCTTCTTTCTTAAGGCCTGGTTGAGCTAACTGGAAAAGTATATTGGGAACACCGCTACAGAATGATGCATATGACGATACAAAGTTTCATATTTTTGGGTGGGTTCGGTATAAACTACTTTACTTGTCAGCTGAATGACGGCTTGCAAAGTACATCGTAATTATTATGAATTTGGTTTGAGAAGTTCTCTTGTACTTTTCCGAAGAAACGGAAATTGTTACATCAGGAAAGAAATGCCTATTGCGACTAGACGAAGTAATAGACATGTCTGCTGTCCGACCGGACATTTGGCTTCTAACTGTATATGGCCTCTCTCGTTTGGGGTCACCAGTCAACAGATACACACATAATTCTCGGAAGTGACACGCAACTCACGCCGCATTTACACAGACACCTACACAATTTGTCCAACGACTCAGCGTGCAAACAGTCAAGAATTATCTATAATTATAATTGGAGGCAATTTAAAATGTGTTTATTCTACAGCCAGAACAGTTGTCCTCGCTGATTGCAAACTTCCTTTCACAGCACACTGCCTTGAATTATTCAAACTACAACTTTCCAGCAAAAATGACCTTGACTCCCAGCAAGTGGTCCGCGGATCACTGCCAGTTGTAAGGAATTCATCTTTCTGTGCTGGGGCTCGAGTTTCTTTTGCGTGTCTCCTGTCACTGCCTACATCCTCGTCGTGTTGCTGTTGATACATCATCCATTCACAAATGTCTCCATTGATACCGGTCTGCTGCCTTTCTGCCAATGGTATCCTATATCATGTTACATTCCTTGAGTCTCTCTTCCATGCTTGGTTGTCAGCAATGGAGGAGTATGGTTGATCATAGGGGATCTCGCTGACCAAACCGTTTGACTCGCGCTGTAAAGGTCGTGGGTTCGTTACACGAACCGCTCGTTTAGTTCACGAATGCAATTTACGCAGCCAGACGTGCAGTCACAAATTGTGTGTGTATGTGTGTGTGAGAGAGAGTGAGTGAGAGAGAGAGAGAGTGAGAGAGAGAGAGAGAGAGAGAGAGAGAGAGAGGGGGGGGGGAATGATGCTTATTCTGGTATGTGACATTAACAATAAGACTGCACTTAATAGCACACAAATATAAAAATATACTTGGAACTAATGCAAAATCTTTAAAGAAATTATTTCAAAAACAATATTCCATAAATGGCTAAATGAAGCCGTATTTTATTATTATATTTTATTTAATATCTAGAAACCCTGAGTTTTTATCCCTTTGGCTCGGTACTATGGATATCGCAACCCTTCTGCCTTGATTCCATGACAAATACCGTAAATCTGTGAACAATCGGGTTTTTCTGCCTACCCCGGACCACAAGGAGTTCGTCAACCGGTCGTCGTGAAGTCAGGTTTAGCCAACTATGCTAGCGAGCCGGGCAAATGAAGCCGTATAGCCCCCACCAGTGACCACAACACTTTGGTTTCAGCGCCTGTAACTGGCGACATGGAATGTGTGCTTCGTGCGAAGCTCTCGTCATGCGTCCCAGGTACATGGAGAGACTGAGCAGTAAAGGATAACATTTGGAGCAATGATAAATCTGTGTGGGGAAACCTCCCCTTGATGATTCGTAAAAACGTATGGGAGAATTGATAACGAAAACGAAAGTGACCCTTCACTAAAATCAATCCACGAGAGATGAGCACTCAGCGAGAAGACTGGTTTACCTGGTACAGGGTGTGTCTCACGTGGAAACTCTCTGCACATGCCATTCACGTAAAGCCCGCCAGTTGATCCAGCCATGCAAACATGTGCCCATTATACTGGACCACACTTATCCCCAAAGCCAGCACCATTAATTGCCAGGATCCCTATGTAAACGGACCCGCCTGTCTGACAATGGCCGCTTCCTGACAATCTGTTGACGTTTCTCCTTGGCGGCTTTCTTGTCAAGACTACTGTCTTTTTACTGCCAGCGGGTTGAGCTGTGGATAAAAGTCCTTCTGTTGACTACATTTTTGACTGGGTTTTGCGCTTTTTAGATGCATAATTTAGCAGGCAGGTGGTAAAAAGATAATCATCCTTTTTGTGCTGTCATGCGTCATAAAGAGCTTGCAGTCTGTTGTCCCATTCTGTTGTAACTTGTGCAAGTGTTTCAATATCATGGATGAAATACAATCCAGGATGTTTGGTATCTCATCAACGATGGAAGACACAATCCAGGATGTTTGGCCTATCTCATCAACGATGGAATACAGTCCAGAATGTTTGGCCTATCTCATCAACGATGGAATACAGTCCAGAATGTTTGGCCTATCGCATCAACGATGGAATACAGTCCAGAATGTTTGGCCTATCTCATCAACGATGGAATACAATCCAGAATGTCCGGCCTATCTCGTCAACGATGGAATACAATCCAGGATGTTTGGCCTATCTCATCAACGATGAAATACAGTCCAAGATGTTTGGCCTATCTCACCAACGATGGAATACAGTCCAGGATGTTTGGCCTATCTCACCAACGATGGAATGCAATCCAGGATGTTTGGCCTATCTCATCAACATTCGTTTAAGAGTTTCTCATAGATGTCCTCGCTTTCTCAATCCCTCTGTTTCCTATTTACGTGCCTGTTTGGTGATTCTGCATTTGCTTTTCCTCAGGCTGTGTCCATTTTAGTGCCATCTTCTCTGTCTTTTTATCACTGACATCAGCTGTTGCCCAAAGATTCCTCATTTCTCAACAACAACAAAACAAAACTTTACTTGCATTCATCCCATTTAACATTCATCAATGTTCTCTAAGCTTATGTTTTTAAGTGCTTTCAACTTTCGTTCCATGTCTATAGTCATTCTCCAACTTGTCAAGGCCACTGTTAAAACTGAAATAACACGAGTTGAAAATAGAGTTTCATATTTCGTTCAGGTTTTTCAAAACTGTTGATGTCTTGCCAGGGCCTGTTATAAGCTCCTTCTTTGTGGTTCACTGACTACCCTGATCACTAGCTTAATAGGAACACTGTTCTGTTAATTTAATTCTTTTTGTTTCTAGAGTGACTTCCCATAGATCTGTTACTAATGTATAATTATGTATGTAAAGGATAATCAGCAGATGTTTTATGGTAATTATTGTATTTTTGTGGTTTATGTCTAAAGCGACCCTTACCTGTTTTAGTCCAAAATTAACAAATACATATTTTATTCACATTTTGTGTACAACATGACCTTCAAAATCAAACTAAAAAAAATTAATAAATGGGAAAATCATCTTATACATGGAAAAATTAATTAAGCAGGTACAGAACAACTGATGAGATAGTCAGATGCTGCTAGACTCAATTCCGTACATGATATCAAAGTGATTGCACAAGACAGAATGGAATGGAGGATCAGACTGTGAGCTCTATGTGGTTTACAATGGCAAAATAGGTCAGTGAGTGAATGAAAGTATGGAATACTAACTCATGTACGTGGTGACGAGCCTTGCTATGATGCATAATAAGCTAATGAGATCAATGGAATTTTTTGGGGGTATCATTTAATTTAATATAATAATAAAAATACTGAATGTAAGTAAGAATGAACAACAATGATAATATTGTTTGAAAAAAATGAACACAGAACAACTTTTCAATACAATCATCATAAAGATGTCCTTTATATCTGAACAGATCTTGGTCCTTCGAGTTTTGGATCAGTTCTGAGTGATTCACCTTCATTTTATCATCATTAGACCATCCTCTAACGTTTCACTCTTCTTCTTCTGTTTGACTTTAGAAGAGCAGTTGGCACATAAGATTATGGTACACAGCGAGACTGTGTTATCTGCATCTTTCAGCCAAATGCATCCTATCTGCTTTTGCGGCTTAGGTATTGGGAATAGGATTCATAATGCAGAGGTGCCAGATTCAATCCCAGCTTCAGGTGATTTGGCAGCGGATCGCCTCACATTAGTTTTAAAAGTAGTATTAAGAGTCGACCGTTCAGCAGGAATCACAAACTACTGAATGTAAAGTTGCATAGTGAAATCACAGAACAGCCCACAAAATGCTTGGATTGGTTCTGCAATGTCCAGTAAAGAATCCACAAATTATTTTTTTTTAGGTCTATTTTTTCCTTAAAAAAATGGGTCACTGGAATCCATTTGGAACGTTTGTCATTCAGTCTGCTTTTCTTCTGCTGATCTGTCCAGACATTATAGAGACCTTTACTAGCTCTTCTTGTAACATGACAATGCATGCAGTCTCCTTCTGTGTGCTAGGACACTCAAACCAAACAATATATATACCATTGAGGGACCCTTACTGGAACGATTGTGAACATTTAAATTAAAATGAAGGTAGGAAAAAATAGCCAAATCGCTGAAAATAGCCTAACTTTCAACAATCACAGGTCTTTCGATGGTAGTTCGTTGTACTTCCAAATATCACATGATGGTGGGTAAACTTCAAGTGCAACTCGTCCTGTTCAAGGCCGAATTCAAGAACTCAAGGGCCCAGCTGCAATTCAGGGTCAATTTCAAGTTTCAAGGTCTGCTATGAGCCCTGTACTATTGTATCAAGAAGATACTCCAATGTCACACAGTGACAGTAACTTACCATTTATTTATCCTTGTAGACATCCCACAATGCAATGTAGCCATCCTTTGAACCAGTGGCAAGAGTGTCATCCGGTGCGAAACAAACACAATGAACACTGCTGGTGTGGTACATCAACACAGCCAGAGGGCTGCATTTTCTCACGCTGAAGACTCGAACACGGTGGTCCCAGCCACCGGTGGCAAATATACGACCATCTCCCCTCACAGCAATGTCACTAATACCTGGGTTAGTCACTGATACACTGGGGCCTTCTACAAATGTGTCCTTGTCTATCTGCCAGGTTTTAATAACTTCATTTGCCGATCCCGTGACGCATGTAATCATATCAGAATTAGGGTTAACCCCATAATCCATGGCCATTATGGAGTCTTCATGGCCTTTGACCTGATTTAGCAGAACATTTCCCAAAAGGTCCCATAAAGTCAATGTCCCACTCTCGTATGCAACAAGAAGACGGGGCCCACTGCTTCTGTGTACAAACGTACATAACCTCATACACATGCCGTATGTTTCCGTAGATGGAGGTTTGAGAGTATGTGAGAGATCTGAGATAGGAAGTGAATCTCCTGGGGTCAACACTGATGTCTGTGAGAGTAGTCTGCCTTGATCAAGGGTGTGAACATCAACATGGCTGGTCTCCCTGCTAGGTACTGCCAGTTTGATCTCATTGTTCCACCGAGTAACAGCACTGTCACAAAATACAAACTGGGCACATGGAATTTCACCTGCAAATGAAACAAACACACACAAAACTAGATAGAAGCACATATGTGTATCAGCAATGAACAGCCATAACCTGACTCACAAACCCAGCTTTTCCTGCTGACTCACAACTTATCTTACTATATGGCCAAAGTATTTGAGTCTTTATTGTTGTTGTTTGCGTCCACCGGCTGTAAACCCCGATGGGAAGACCTGGTTGTTTGTCCATTTCTGGACTTTGACTATGTTCCAGGACCTGAGTTTTGCGTGTGCATCCATTTTACAAATCCTGCTTATTTGTATGCAGACTGTTGGTTCCTTGTCTCTCAGGCAGATGCACTCCGACTCTGAAGGAAGCCCCTAATTAGCTGACTATTATGACATGCTTGCTAGGGAGGCAGTGGGTCTATTCTGCCCCCCCCCCTCCACGACCCTGGAACAAAAAAAAAAAGGGAATATAATTAAATTATGTGTTTTGTTCCAATAGTTTTTATAATCTCTTCATTTCTCACAAGATCTTTTCTGTTTTTGTTTGCAACCTTTCTCAAACATCTCATTTCCCGGGCAGTTACCTCTCTCTCCTGCTCTCTGATTGATGTCCACCTCTAATCTCATTTCCCGGGCAGTTACCTCTCTCTCCTACTCTCTGACTGATGTCCACCTCTGATCTCATTTCTCGGGCAGTTACCTCTCTCTCCTGCTCTCTGACTGATGTCCACCTCTGATCTCATTTCCCGGGCAGTTACCTCTCTCTCCTGCTCTCTGATTGATGTCCACCTCTGATCTCATTTCCCGGGCAGTTACCTCTCTCCTGCTCTCTGACTGATGTCCACCTCTGATCTCATTTCCCGGACAGTTACCTCTCTCTCCTGCTCTCTGACTGATGTCCACCTCTGATCTCATTTCTCGGGCAGTTACCTCTCTCTCATGCTCTCTGACTGATGTCCACCTCTGATCTCATTTCCCGGGCAGTTACCTCTCTCTCCTGCTCTCTGACTGATGTCCACCTCTGATCTCATTTCACGGGCAGTTACCTCTCTCTCATGCTCTCTGATTGATGTCCACATCTGACACTGGTTGTTGCAGTAATACTGTAACTTGTCTGTGAAAACAGACATTTTCTACCATCATCATCAATCAGCAGGTCTTTACTGACAGAATGTTGCTCTCGCCACTGCATGCCTTAAAGTCTTTCCTTCTCTAGCCTATTCTCCAGCCCTATGTGCTTTCATAGAAATGCATCTTTAATGTCTTGTATCTACCTTCATAGTTGTCTCATTTGCTGGAAACTGCATCCTCTATCACTTTCTCTTCCAGCCACCATTTTGTACACCATCTCTTTATGTGACACTGAATAAGTAACCCTTTCTTGGTGGCTGAAACTTCATTCAAAGTCTGTACTGATTTGCAGTTCAGTGCCGTTACCTCATTTATGTTACCGATTTGATGAGACAGCCAGTCTCACACAAACCAGCCTTAGTTGCCTCATATGACATGCATGGTCGATTACAGTCCTAGTTCTCTTTGCCACCCTTACAAGCTGTAGCCAACACATATCAAACTCTCTAATACTTCAATTATTAATCCTATTACTCCTGTTCTATTATTACTATTTTCGCTCCTTCATTAATTTTATTAGTTCCACATACCCTTAACCTGTTCCCATATTTTATAGTTACTCATGAGACACCCCTCTCCTCCTTCTATGTGGGGACTGACTGTTGGGATACTCTGTCCATTGTTGTTGTGGTTTTTGTTGAGAAAGGCTCTGGCTGAAACCAAATTTGTCTTGTGTATGTTGATCACATTTCAGTTGAATGAATTTCTTGGCATCAACTTGCATGCAGTCACCTTCGTTTTTATCACTTTGTAAAAATACATCCACTATTAGCTTATTGCATTCTTTGTTATTTTACTTGGACACTACATCTCTTGAAACCACATCTCTGCTCCAATCAAATGATTTCTCTTAGAAACCACATCTCTGCTCCAATCAAATGGTTTCTTTCGGGAAACCATATTTCTGCTGTTACCAAATGGTTTCTCACAAACAACATTTATCCACCATCAAAATGTTTTCCAGTTTGTCTGCCTTCTGTCTGGGCCTTACATAGCTACAATACTTCAGACTATGTACAACTTTAAAACTCTTCCCTGCTGTGACTGACAGTTTATGGCTTGTGATCTGGGTTTTTCAATGATAAATAACATTTTAAAATTGTTTTTAAGTAATTGAACAACCCACCAATACATGTCCAGGAGTTTTTGTCCTGAGTCCAAACTCGAACCATGCCATCCCTGCCCTGGCTGAGCAGCTTATCTGGCACAGCCCATGCAAGCCAAATGACAGACTGCGTGTGTCCTGGCCAGGAGACTTTGGCCCTCTGAGTTGTGATACTCCACTCAATTATCTGCAAAACAAAAGCATCTCTTTTTAAAAAATCTCAGAACCTGTAGTTATTCAGATGAAACATCTCTTAGCCTCCAAAACCCCAGGAAAGACTGAAAAAATCCCCCCCCCCCCCCCCCCCCAATAATCTGGGATAATTCCATAAACTAAAAAACAAAACAATGATGAACACATTTCAGCGCTGAGGCTGACAATTAAATGAATCTTCTACTTCTTTTTCTTCTCTCTCTTCTCCTTCTCTACTTTTTTTTTTCATCTGTCTCTTTCTCTTCTTTTTCTTTTCTCTCTTATTTCTCTTCTTTTTTCTCTCTCGCTTCTTCTCCTTCCTTTTCTTCACTCTCTTCATTTTTCTTCTCTCTTAATTTTGTCTTCTTCCTTTTCTTCTCTCTCTTCTTTATCTTCTTAGTGCCCAATTCTTAACCCTTTGAAAATAAAGTATGTTGCTTGTTCTCTTGCTCCACTGGATGCAGCAAACTGTGGAGTCAAGGACCCTTTTCCACACCTTTAGGCCTGTTGAGCATATAGTGCTAGATCTATATTTGATAGATCAATGAGCACTCGGTGGGTGATGTGGTCAAAATCACACTGACCACCTTGACCTGGTACTGCTTTAGGCTGGGTCAACCTGGGAGCCAAGGTCATTTCTGATCAAATCCAACTTGTAGCAGATTTGAACCCATGACCCTCAGGCCAGAGGCAAGGGTCAAAATGGATATCATAAATTTCAGGATTCTCTGGAAAGGATTAAGCAATGGTGATGATGATGAGAACGTACTCAAATCTTGTGATTAGCTAGTGTATACCCACTATACCCTTATTGCAGGAACCACGAGCTTGACGTTGACCACACCACCCATCTAGTGCTAATTAGTCTATAAAATATAGATCTAGAATTATATTGCGAATATGCCTAATGGCACATTATAATGCAGATGATACAGTATTAAACGCTGAAAACGCAGAAGACCTACAACAACTATTAGACATTGTTCTACTAGAGAGTGCAAAAAAGGGCCTCTCCTTGAATATCAGTCGGCTCTGTGGCTAAGTCGATGCGAATGCTTCATAATGCCGGGTTACCGGGTTCGATCCCAGCTTCGGGCCATACGCGTTGGTTTCGACAGTGATATCAGGGAGCTGACCGTCTAGAAAGCAATGGCAAACTACTGAACGTAAATTTGCCTAGAGAAACCACACAACAGCCAGGGGCTGCTGGGGTTGGTTCAGCAACGTCCTGTAAAGGATACGCAACTAACCATCGCCTTGAATATCAAGAAAACAGAAACAATGGTTACATCAAAGAAGAAGATAATCCCAAAATGTGACACAGCAATACAAGGGAAAGTGCTTAACCAAGTCAATACATTCAAGTATTTGGGGACATTCATAATATCAGATGGAAGATGTGTGACAGAAATTAAGAGCAGAATTGGCCAGGCAAAGCCAGTTTTCCAGAAGATGAAAAGTATTTTATGTAATAAATCCCTCTTATTAAAAATCAGAAAGCGAGTACTGAAATGTTATACCGAGCCTGTTCTGTTGTATGTTAGTGAATCTTGGAATGTGAGCAAACAGATACAGAAGAATCTGGAGGCTGCTGAGATGTAGATGTGATTCTTGAGAAGAATGTTGAGAATACCTTGGACTGCCAGAATCACTCACTCTTGAGTGTCTGGAAATGGCTAATGAAAGTAGAACATTATATACAACAATCAGAAAGAGACAAAGTTCTTTGGTCATGTGATGAGAAAAGGAGCACTGGAAAATACCGTGGTGACTGGAAAGATCACTGGTAGAAGAGGCAGAGACAGACCAAAGAAATGATAGTGGACGGATTCGACAGTGGCACGGAGGAATATCATCAGTTCAATCGATCCAGAACTACAAAGACCGAGATCTGTAGAGATGCATGAACATCTACGCCAGCTGGCAAGGCACATGACAATGATGATGATGATGACAAAGTCTAATGGGGTGAAACTTTTTTTTCTCTACTCTTACTAGAGAATCAGGTGAAGGACTGTCTTCCACTTCTTAAACAGGACAGTAGTTATATGGTGCTAAACATGTGTTTAACTCCTTGGGTACCAACAAACGCAGTGTTTGCTGTTTTATAACTTATAGTGGTAGCAAAGGAGTTAACGAACTCACAGACACTGACTGCCATCCCAGAATGCCAGCAGATAATAAACTCTCTGACTGACTCAGCCTAAAAAGGGTAAATAATGACATTGGTATGACAATGACATGACACTGACTGCATCACTAATCAACTGCCATTCGGTCTATAAAAACACAACACTAGTATTATATACCTGAATTCCCCTGTGTGGGTTGCGGGGCCCTATTGTGGGGGAAACTAGAATAAACCCATGTCTCTGCAATAAACATGTCGTAAGAGTCAACTAACTGAGGGTTTCCTTCGAAGTAGGAGTGCATCTGTCTAAGAAGAAAGGAACCAACAGTCTGCATTACAAATATGCCAAATCTGTAAAATGAATGTGTATGCAATACTGAGGATCTGGAACAAAACTAAAGTCCAGAGATGGACGAACAACCAGAACTTTCCTCGGTTCTTGATTAATATCCTACCCCAGATGACGTCACAGAACAGTCCAACATTATAGAGGGTGTTAGGACTGGGTTTCCCGGCTTTCTGATGCTTTTAATGACCTCAAAAAATCTAGAACTTGCCCTAACCCCAACCCACCTACATCCCATGAGAGAGTGCCACCTAGGTCCCACAACTGCATGCAGTCTATCTACCACCCCCTGAAATATTAGAATGTCCCGTGACCTGTCAATTTCCCCTGTTTGGGGTAGGTTATTAATAAAGCACCCTTTCCTCTAGAGGTCCCAGCCGGTGAAAATGAAGGAGATATACCCAAATTTGCTGGCATATTTCTTGTTTTTGTCCCAGACAATGGTTTTCCACTGTGCTATAGACAGCCACGGAAATCACATCCCATGGTGATACCGATTACGTCCAGGGATAAAGCTCCTCCTCTCCTCAGCACAAAACCTGAGTAGTTTTGTAGAGACCATGTGCTTCTCATACAGCAGGATCCCTCTCTCAGCCTGCTTTGTGAACTCCAAATGAGAGGTAACATCAATACATATACCTTAAACTGCCTCCTTGTCCCAGCTAAGATGCTAGGGAGAGAACGCCCACTGTACTGTCTTGGCGTCCTCTGAAGCAAGTAGGGTTCTCTGAGACATTCATCCCTTCAATGCTGGATCTGTATTGTTGCTGCTGTTGATCCCAATCATTCTGAGTTGCCTGCTCTTTCCAACTACTGTTGCAACTATGCAATATAAAGTCGGCGTCTGTGGCTTAGATGTTGCAAACAGGTTTTGTAACACCAAGGTGCCAGGTTCAATTCCAGCTGTCGATGATTTGGCTGCAGACTGTCTGGCTTTGGTTTTTAACTGTGGTATCGAGAGCCGACCATCCAGTAAGTCATGGTAAACTTATGAATGTAAACTTGCTAATTTAAATCACAATTAGCGGGGGTAAAATGCTGAGACTGGTTCTGCAATGTCTTGTAGAATGATGAATGTAGAAAGTTGTTGATTGATTTGATTCAAGAACTGACATCGCAGCACCCATAAGCGCTTTGTCCCTATCTTCAGCAGCCAACAAAGAGTTACGATACTAATGGTGCATTCTAATTAAACATCTGTCTTGCCTTTTCTCTGAGCCTGGACCATCTACCAGAATCTCTCGTAATGCCCCCCTGCATCAATCTCACCAGACTGTGATGATCCATCTGCTTTTCCGAACTGTACACGCTCTCCCATAAGGCACCAACCATGTCTGCCTTATCATACATCAGTATTCCACCAAGTTGTGCAGAGCCAGCCAGTCTGTCCTCCTGTTCATTTCCCAACACACCGGCCTGCCCCAGTGAAAAAATCCAGACAATACTCCTAACCTGTGTGCTCCGCAGCGAGGCATGCCTGTCCTGATCTTCCTCAGCATGCTTTCTGAGTCAGTTACAATCATGATGTGTGTGTGTGTCATGTTCTCTAACCAGTGGAAAGCTGCAGTGACCATCTCCATCTCTATTCTTAAGCTGGATGTTGTGGTATCATATGCTCTCCTGCACCGAATGTCGACCATTAACTTTTGCTAAGAAACCCCAAGCACTTCTTTTGCCTCTTGACACTGAACCGTCTGTGTAAATGATCAAATCTTCTGAGCGAGCATTATCTTAAATTAATTGCTGAAGTTCCACCTCCGTGGCACCTGCTGGCCAATCTCTGCATTGCCGGCTCAGTGTGATTATGACCCTACAACTGACTGTTTAGGTGGCATTTTGGTATTCTCTCCTTGCCTAATGTTTTCAAGAATGCAAACCTGTCTGATTGTGTCTTCTGCTTGAACCATCCATGACTTTTCTCTTATCAGCCGCTGACTCTTAACAGCAATCTTGCTCGCATACATGTTAAAGAGCACAGGTGATTTGGCGGGTCCCTGTGGCAGTCCTGGGGCAAAATTGTATGGTTTTGAGGTCCATGAGCCCAGTCGGAGAGCAACCTGACATGAATACAGGACAGCTGCAATCCAATTCACCAGCCATGGACTGACCTTCTTCTCCTTCAGTGCAGTCATCAAGATGTCGTATCTTACTCTGTTATAAGCATCCTCGAGATCCAGTGCTACCGCCATAGTTTCCTGTCTGTTCTGGAACCCTTCATAGACATCAAAAGCGAAAGTGTCCGCATTTGCCTATGTGTCCTTTCCTGGCCTGTAGCTTCCCAGACCTCTTGGGAGAAGCGTCCCCTTTTCCAAAAATGTTTGCAGCTTTACAGCAACTATCTTCTCCAAGACATTCCCAAATGTGTTTTGTAAGGTGATGATTCTGAAGCCACTGAGCTTTAAATGATCCTTAAAAGGTTTTGGTAATGGGATTAGATAGCTCTGCACCCATTCCTGCAGCACTAATGCTGTCCTAATGCTCTGGTTAAAACAGAATGTTGTTGAATGTTGAATTAAGTATCAACATCACAGCACTCGTCACACTCCCATAAGTGCTCAGTCCCCAACTTCAGCAGCAAGTGAAGAGTTCCAATTCCGATGGTACCAGTAATCGTCTGATTGTATATCAGTCTCATCCTTCCCCTGAGTGTTGACCGTCGGCCAGATCCCCTGGTAACTCCTCACAGCGCCATGCTTCTTAGACCATAATGATCTTTCTCCGCCTCTGCACTGTTCACTCGTTCTCAAAGGACCCTCACAATATCTAAGTCTTGTAAAGGATATCCAACTAACTTACACAATCTATTATTTTAAAGTTTCAAAATTTAGTTTTTCAGATACAAAATTGTGATTTCTGTGTATTGTTGTGTGGGTTCTGGGAAAAACGAACAGATTTACTGCCCCCTTATAAACATGGTGTAAAACTAATTAGGGATTTTTTTTTTTTTGGGTTGTTGTTGAAATCAAAGTGTCTCTGGGATACAAGGAACCAACAATCTGCATACAAATAAGCCGGATCTAAAGGTTACAGTCGAGAGGACCCACTTTATCTCACATGGCTCGGTCTCTCTCCGCAGAATGGCTAGCTGCCTGTTGAGAGTGTTGCACACAGCCCAAACTCTTTAGCTCCGGTGATGATCTCCAAGGATTTCCGTAAAAATTGCACAAGCGAACTGAAGGGGGCAGCTATGAAATAAAACCCATGAACTTCACAGCATGAGGCAAATGACTTGACCACATTGCCAAGGAGACTCCCCGATAAGCCAGATCTATCAAATAAATGTGAATGCAAAACTAAACTTCTGGAATAAGATCAAAGTACAGAAGTTGGACAGCCAGCAACCAGAAGCTTTAACCAGAGTTTACAGCTGGTTAATGCTAAGAAGATCAAGAAAATACAGCATTGTGGTTTCTCTGTCACAAATTGTTGGGCAAAATTCTGCAGCGATAAAGCGGTGTTGATTCCCTAAATGAACAACATGACTAGAGCAAACAGACAACTGACCTGTCCACTCTCATGTCCAGAGATGATTGCTGGTCGCTCCTTGTATGTTTCCTGTGGACCAAAGGTAAGACTGGACACAGGACTCTGTCCACACATGACCCCTCTGGGGTCAGGGGGCGCTGGCCTGGCTCTGCTTTTCATCTCTGTAGTGAGGGAAAACAGATGACAATGCAAATAAAATTAAGATTAGGTGTTAACCCTTTTGTACCAAGAATGCTATTAAAAAAATGGCTCATAACCCGTACCAATTTCCAGAAAAAATGCCTTTAAAAAAACAACAAGATATACAAAGAGGTAATCAATAAACATGAGCAGAGTGAACCATTAGATAAAAGACATTTCCTAGGATGTGAAAAACAACAAAATGAATCAGGTAACCTTTACCAAGACCCCTGACCTCTATTTCTGAGGAAAATCTGACACTAATCTGGTGTTTTTTTTAAAAACAACTGAGGTCATAAGCAGATCCTCCGAAATACTATTTTTAGTTGCTCTGTTAAGATCCTGATCTATTAACCACCACTGCACTTTGTAATGCTGGGGTGCTGGGTTCGATGCATTGTATTCTGTTAATTCACTAAACACAAGAATAACACAACAGAACTGCTGTTCCACTGCCTGTTAGCTTGTAGCATCTGAAGAATGAGAGAACTTATGACAGCCATAAGACACCGCTTCATTTTAAAGAAAAAATGCTTCTTTTTTAGTCCTTGCACTAGCACACATATATGCAAGCATACATACATAATTACACACATTACATACATACATACACATTACATACATACATACATACATACATACAGACACATATATAGACACACTCAGAATGGCATACATAAATTCACACTTGTACACACCCATACATACACCTCACATATACATACTTTCTTACAAAGACAAAAGTTCATGACCTTGCATGCAAACATATACAAAACACACAAGAGTAGCTATTCAAGACTGCCTGGAAAAAGTTCATGAAAGTAGAACATTATAAACACCTTTAAGACAAGACATCTGGCATTATTTTGTAGTATGATGAAAAAAGAGGCAATTGTGACAGCTGCACAAATCAGTGGTAGAAAAGGCAGTGGCAGATGAAGACAAATGAAATCAGAAGTCTACGTCAAGAAGAAATGTCATTTATAAGCTGGATCAAGAATAAATGAGATCTGCGGGGTGACACTAATGTCTTTGTTCTCCGCCTAAATATGGTGAGGTTTTGTTGGTTTTGGCATCTTCCCAATGATCGGCTTATTCTTCAAATTGTTTTTCCTAGTTAAGCCCCTTTTTTTAAATATCATCATCGGATCAGGATAAAAGCTGCTGATCACAGTCGGCACCAAACAGTCTATGTTCCCCCTTTGAGCCTTGCTTTTTCTGGGTTCATTTTTTTTAAGTTAATCATAATATGAAACCCGTCTTCAGTTTGTCCTCCAATAATCTCTGACAATTGCAGAAATGTAGTGAGGTATTAAATCTGTTTAATGTAATTTCCCCAGAACTGAAGGAGCCAATATTGACCTTTTTATGGCTGAATTTTCAGCTTCTGGCAATGAATGTCAAAGTTGTATTATTAAACAACTGGAAATTTTGCAACGAATACGACCCCTTCTAATAACTGTTTAGGGGTGCTGAATGAGTCCAAATGGATGAATAAAACCATGATAGAAATTCTGTGAATCCAAAACTGTCAGACCTTAACAAAACGAGGTACTTTAAGTGCTTTAGCCAGACGGTGGCACCAATATTAATTTGGACACTTCTTCTTATGCCTAACCTCAAATAGAGCATAGCAGCTCTCCCCATGTCCTCCCCATCTTTTTAACTTCACTTTTTAGCTCCCTTATGCCTGTGGGTTCCAGTGCATATCATTCTCAGGTTTTCTCAGGGTGTGCCCTTTCCAACGGCAGCATATTTTCATCACCTCTTGGTCCACTGGAACTTGTTTAGTTGTCTCCCAAAGCTCTTTTTTTTAGTGATTCTATCATACCATTTAATTCCTTCTATTCTACATAGGCACAACTGAATGAATGTTTGTAGTTAATTAGTAACTGCCTTAGTTGTTCTCAATGTTTCCGCTCCATACAACAGTACTGATCTGACATTAGAATTAAACATTTCAAGATTAATATTAGTTTAAAATTTCTGTTGACCTCCACAAAATCCCTCAGTATATGGAAATTGCAAAGAGCAGGCTGAATTTTGGGGGTCATTTTCACATCCAATGGAAGACTGGACAGAGAAATTAGCTCGAGATGTGCCAAAGCCAGTCAAGCAATGGGGTAACTATCTTCCCTGTTGACACAAAAACAGACACCCTGGAGTACTAAAGTAAATCTTATCAGAACTATTTTTTGGCCAAAACTTTGCTATCAGTGCTAAACATGGACACTTACATTCTCCAATGAACATAAAATTGTGACAACAGCGATAAAAATGCCTTAGAAGAGCTGCAGGAGTTTCAAAGAAATACAGAATACAAAATTAGATGAATGCTAGGAATAAAGCCAGTCTTACGGATCAACAAAGAACAACAAATGAAGTGGTTTGGACACCTAACAAGAATGCCCTGGTACTATCTGCCACAGCGAGCCATACTAAAACGTTACAACGGGTAAAGAGCGAGTCAGTGAAAGACCTAGGAAAATATGGAGTGATGGCATTAGGAACAGCCTTACAGAAATAAACATCAGTCTTAAAAGTGCCCTTGACAGAGCTCATCAACGAATGTTACAGAAGAAGAAGTCTGAATAGGCTTCCACTCAGGCATCTTCTTCAGCCCATGGCTGAGGTGAGAGACTAGCAAGACCCGTCTGTGTTAAGAAGTCTTCCACAGTCAAAGCATGGGATTTCAAGACTGTTGTCAACATTTGTGTTTATTCTGTTTCTTCTCAGACGCTCAGCTCTCATCCTTTCTGCAATCACTCTTCCTTCACTCTCATTTCCTTCCTGATGTGCTCCTCCTACACAACACGGTCCACAGCATTTTGATCTCACAAGTCCACCGCAATACATGTGTATGTTGGGGGGTGGGTGAGTGGTCTTGAGGCATGGCGTCCATCTCAAATGCTGAAGGTACCGGGTTCAGGCTGCGGTAAAGGCTGGGATTTGTTCACACGGACTTCTAGTAATTTCCCCTGGTCTCTGGGTAGTAAGATCTGACGCCCACGAGTATTGCTGCGCATGTAAAAAAAAAAAAAATCCCTTGGCAGGTGGAAATAAAAAAGAGAAGCCTAAAGGCGCTGCCCGGGTCAAATTTGGAAGTAAAAATATACCCAAAGTATTTCAGGATCCTCGTCAGTGCTATGGAGTTCATGCACTGCGATGCAATTTTTCAGAGTTAGGCTTGAGTTAGAAGTAGAACGCAGCACTTATGGGTTACTAGCCTTGTGCCATGTATAAACCAAACCAACTGTTTATGCCTATGTGTGTGTATCACCTTCATTGTTGTGTTGTGTCACTGTATGTCACATAAGGCTCACAGTCTATTCCTCTATTCCCTTCTATCCTGTGCAATCAACTTCATATCGTTGATAGAATCTAGTCAAGCACCTTTGGTTTCTGTCTTCAATGTTCCTTTTACGGTTTCTTTTGGATATCCTTCCCTGTGTGGGTTCCGGGGCCCTTTTGTGGGGAAAACAAGAATAGACCCACTGCCTACCCAAAAGCACATCATAAGAGTCAACTAATTGGGAGCTTCCTTCAAAGTCGGAGTGCATCTGCCGGAGAGGCAAGGAACCAGCAGTCTGCATACAAACAAGTCAGATCTGTAAAATGCACATGCAAAACTCAGGTTCTGGAACAGGACTGCAGTCCAGAAGTGGATGAACAACCAGAACTTTCCGCCAGAGTTTACAGCTGGTCAACATAAAGAAGAAGGATATCTGTGATTCCTCAATCCTTTCATTTCAAATTTGAGTGCCTGCTTAGTCATTCTGTGCTTGTTTTGCATTTAACTTTCATTTCACACACACACACAAATGACGACGAATAGTTTTACTGGGTATGTTTCATCTCTTCTCAGACCATCCACTAATTTACAGTACTTTTCCAGCTTGTACAAGTGATTTTCTTTCATCCGTGACTCGTATGGCATGCTAAGCTCTATAAGGATGAGCTGGCGTTTTTCAGCAGAGTGGAGAACCACGTTTGGTCTCAGGCCAGTCTTTTGGACTGATTCTGGGTACCTATTGAAACCAGATAGGTTGACGGCAAGCAACCAGTCAAGTACTGATGAAGCATATGCAACGTTAACCTATAGGAATCTGCCCAGCCATGAGGAAACGCATCGTAGAGACATTAGGACTGGCCCTCGCGTCGGCCCTCATCCTGACTTTGTCCACAATGTCTGCTAGCTCTTTTAAGACTTTATTGTGGCGCTATGTATATCGTCCCTAGCCTAGGGCTTTTCTGCACGCAGACAATATGTGCTCGAGCGTCTGTTTAGCTCTGAATAGGAGACCTGTCGGGTCGGTGGTCGCACGCCATTTGGTCATGTTGGCGCCAGAGGGTAACACGTCGTAAGCAGATCTTATCATAAAGCTTAGCCGCAGTGGGACCATTCGCCAGACATCACCTCATATGAGTATTCGTGGAAAGGCGCTCTCTAGGCTGATTCACTGGCCTTGCTGTAACTGTTGGACTATTTTTTTTAGACCAGTAACTCGTTTTCAGAGTCCCTTATATGCTGTATTACCATGTCTCTGCATTCTCTGGCTAAGGCTTTGGACCACAAAGTGACTTTTCATCGCCCTAAGCTGCGTCAGTTTGTGTGTGACTCATGACTTCCTTCAATTTTAGTGCTTTCTGAGCTGATTCTATCGCACCTTTGACCTTCCATTTCATACCTGGACAGTGGCCACTGTGGCATCTAAAGACTCGTGCAGCAGCGAGTCAGACCTTGTTGACTTTACACTCTCCGGTTACTGATTTGAACGGAAGCACCATCTTAGCATGCTTACAGTATAGGGCCAGGTCGATCAGACAAGGTGGTGCTTCAAGCCACTTCCTCATGTCTGTGTTGATTTTTTCTCCATCGCCTCCACTGCAGTCATGCTTACCTCCTACACAAGCAGCGGCCAGAGGAGCTTTGAAATCAACATGAACTGAAGACGCCAAACCTTGAACTTCCCAATCAG